CATGACCACTATCAATTAAGTGTGATAAAATGAGCTACGGATTGTTTTTGTCTGTCCTTTGCCAAACTACGATGGGAGATGTTCACTAACACGTTGGCTAAGCTGTCTAGTAGTACGTCCAATATAACTGTCACTGCAGATGCCGTTGAATTAATAAATGCACATAGATGTGGCAAAACTATCAAGCTTATCCTTCGTTTGCGTCCCAATCATTCGTCGGCTAGAGAATGACAAACATAGGTGTGCTGCATAAAAAGTTCTTCGTATACCCCTTGAAAGTCTTTGGAATGGAATCTCACTTGATAAGTCACCATTAAATTGTAACTTAATAAATAGAGGTTTCTTACGTACAGTCAGAGTTTCCGGTTTTTTCTCCGATATTTTCATATGTTCCTTTATGAAACTACTCGGATAGCCCATCTCCATCAAGGAATCGGGAATATATTCAAATTCCTTTTGTAAGAGGTCATCGGTACATATCTTTCTTGCTCTGCTCGCAAGACATTTTACAACATTCCTTTTATATTTAATGGGCACGTAACTAATATTTATAAGTTAAGACATTGACGGTGTCCATGGATAATTCTGATTAAAAAAATTATTCAGTGACTGAATGTAAATTCAGAAATCTCCACCATATAGGAGTGATTTTAAAGCCCAGAAAACCGACTCACAGTAGCCATCCGTGTGACACAGTTTAGCTTAATTGATATACTTTGAGATCTTTATGTATCATTCATTATGTAGTCTTGAAGAGAATTGGAAAGCTTGACCACTGGTGTCACATCCCCTTGGATATCTTAGGAACGGCAGATTGATATTTGCCTAGTCTGTTAGCGGACCAGTTGCTTAATGCCTCAGCTAAGCCAGCAGAGTGTAAGGGAGGTAGCATGTGTTCTTTGAATTCGAAATGCGAAGTTTTCCAAGCCTTCATTCTAACCACCATCTATTACATAATAATTTGACCACTTATCCCAACCGACTTTTGAAAGCGTTTTAAAATAAACGCTTTCCTGTCATTAATCTGTATTTTTCGGCTAACAACATTTCAGAAAAAATATATCAGCAAACTATTTACTCATTCCTCTAGCACAATAGATGAATACGACTCAAAATAATTAGTTTTCTTCACTTTCTTTCTGTTTGGAAGGGATCGGAAGTAAAGGCTGTGATCCACACAAAACCTGTTACACAAATACGGTGGACATCTGTTTACGTTTTACAATTTTCAGTTTTATTTTACCGCATTTTTTTCTCAAATGTCATCATTAACCGTTATATAAGTCAACGTCTTGGATTCCGTTTTGATGATTCCAATTCGGCTAACGAGACCCATAAGAAAAAATAACTATACATTTTTATCACCACAGCCTTAATGAAGTTCCTTTACTAGAACTCAATATAAAATACCAGACAAGGTAGACATACAATTCTTTACTACTTCTAATAATTTCTATATCTCGTAATCGTTGATAATATCTAAGTAAGTCAAAGGAAGAACAAGGAATGATTTCATGATGTTCATATTTTAATAGTTCACTGTTTTGATTGATACAAGTTTGATAATAACAAGTGAATTGTTATAACTTACATTTATGTTTCTGTTTTTAAATAAAAAGAAATTTTGAGAATATTCACCAGGTGTGAAGTAGGCGGACAGAAGGCAAAGATAATTTCTATCAGTTTAACGTTTGTACACTATCAAAGCGTACAGAAATGGAAAAATTGAATAATTTCAGAGGAGAGAAAGGATGAAATCAGTTAGATATAAATTATCACTGTAGAGCAGGGAGATGATAAAAGAATATTGTTACAGAAGGAGAATAACAGTGAAGGTAGTTATTCAAGTGGATTGAATTTAACTCGACTAGTTAGTGAGATGCTTATTCGACCAACTGGAGATTAAATATGACTGAAAACATATCTTTAATTCATTATGTATTATATTATTAAGAGTAATTTAAACAGAAATAAGAGCCTTTTTCCCCAATTGTAAAAGTAAAATTTTTATAGAATTTCATCATGAGGTGACATTGGTTAGAGAACCATTAGAAAACCTGGGATTACTGGACAACTGTTTTGTCCTAGTTTGGGACTCTCCATCAGTATGCACCCACTGGGGTTCGAACCCAGGATCTTCTGGTTACAAGACGAGCTCGTATACCATTAAGCCACAGGGACCCAATCCAATGGCCCATGAATTCTAACTTCTGCCAATTCGGGCCCCAGTGGCTCAATGGTATACGAGCTCGTCTTGTAACCAAAAGGTCCTGGGTTTGAACAGCAGTGGGTGCGTTCTGATGAAGAGTCCCAAACTAGGACGAAACAGATGTCCAGTACTCCCAGGTTTTCCAATGGTTCTCTAACTGATGTCAGATCATGATGAAATCCTGTAACCAATCAAATCCCTGCAAACCAATGCTTAAATTTTTATAGTTTGTATTTTGTTTTAAAGGTAAAAGGAATTATTTTCAAGCGTCTGGGTTATATGGATTTGAATAGTTTCAAAGTAGATCTCGTTGTTGCTATGACATTAGTCAAATAACTATTGAGATTCAGGAAGTGCTGAACAGCTATTTCGTTCCACTCGGAACCCAGAGGAATAATAATATGTAGACTCGAAATACTATACTTCACTTTATTCAGTTGCTCATTTTAAACTTAAACACCTAATTTATAATGAGTAACACTGTCTCCTTGTATTTAATAAATGAATCTACATTTATCAGTAAACTATTCTTATTACTTTATTATGCAGTATCAAAAAGTCATATGCATACTTTCGAATCCTTCGGGTGTGACGAATAATAATTTCTGACTAGGTATTCGTAACTTACTTATTTTATTCGCTCGTAGCAGTAGATTAGATCATGCTTATAGTGAATACCTGAAAATTAGACATGTCAGGAGAGTTGCTTTAAATCAATCATATTTTTTTTCATGCCAAAGAATGGTTATTTGACATTTAAATAACATCAGCATATCATGTCAATCCTGAGAAGTCTAAATGAATTGGCTGTGTTTTCAAATTACTAAATGATTCCTTTAAAAATTATAATAGCTAATTTGTGAATAGATTCTAGTCACATATTGTCAATAAAAAATGCAGAATAATCAGTAGATTTCCAGTAGTAGAAATTTTATGATGACAGTAATAATTTTTTATTTGTTGTATCTAATTCGTGATGATCATATCTCTTTGCATATTTTTATCAGTACTGCTAACAGTTTCCTGACATCTTAATTCAAAATTAAAAAGATTTCTAACAATGAAAATTATATATATATATATATATGCTACGCATGCTTAACCATCGCCTACCTCGACAACTAATGAAAAGTGACATAGGAACAAGTTTGAAAAGAGCCAGCAGCGTTCAATATGGTGCACAATAGAAACTAATTTCTAGGAATCATCACCCAAAAAATAGAGTCACCTCAGAGTTTAAACAAAGAATGCTTCTTGAGAATAAGTTAAAAATAGTTAAAAACTTAATATAAAATTTTATGAAGACTGTATATGCAGTGTAGAACCCATTCTAGGATGCTTTACTAACGTTTGACTACGGAAAAATTTTAATTATCACGGTGTCACTACCACTTGGGATAAGATAAATTTCGCTGACAGCCTAATGTTGCCTGTATTCTCCATTAGCATAAATCAAATATTTTAAAATAGATGTTTTCATTAGTGCATACCGGTTATTGAAACTTCAAAATCAAACAATAATTCTCATTAATGATACGATTCAACATGCAGTGTACGAAAGCAGATACTCAGTGAAGACATGGCGTTGTGGCAACTTTAATCAGGAGATTGGAAGTATCTAATAATTGTGGATTTAAAAAACCCACTGACTGAATAGTAATGTGATCACTCTCTAGCCTGCTACTCTTAACTCCGATCCCCACTACGATCAATAAAAATCTATGGAAACAGAATACAGTGAGAGTTGTGGGCAGAATCAATTCGCTACGTAAACAGTATTTTATGTAATGTAAGAAGATAGTAACTGCAAGCTTTGTTACAATAAAATTGGCGTTTTATTGGTCATCTTGGGTTTCACTTCTTTTGAAAGAAGAACAAATTGGCTTAAGAATCTCACGTTTACAAACCCATCAAATCTAATGATGAATAGGAAATGTGTGTGCTAAAAGCTACTTTTTAAAAAATGATATCTGATAACCAATGTTCTAATAATTTAAGTTTAAATTTTTATTTTTATTTGTGACAATATTGAAGTCTTTACGAGTTGATCACGGAGTGATATCAGTTAGAGAACCATTGAAAACCAGGGAGTACTGAACAGCTGCTGTTTCATCCTAGTTTGCGAATCATTGGCAGTACGCACCCACCTCCAGGGTTCGAACCCAGGACCTTCCGGTTACAAGGCAAGCTCGTATACCATTCAGCCACTGGGACCCGACTCAGTGGCTCATGAATTCTAACTTCTACCAATTCGTGATTTAGCGCGACCCCAACCATTGTCGTTGGTGGGACATCCATCCACACATGTGATATCTAATTGGATCTCATTGGTCACGACTTCTCACTAGAACTCCAAGAAACTCCATCCTGTAGCAAGTCACTAGCGAGCATCAGATTAATTTTCTATAGTTTAGTTTGTAAGGGTTTGTTATGTTTTTACGAGTTGATCACGGACTGATATCAGTCCAGTACTCCCTGGTTTTCAATGGTTCTCAAACTGATATCAGTCCGTGATCAACTCGTAAAAACATAACAAACCCTTACAAACCAAACTATAGAAAATAGTTAAGTCACCATTTCGAATGTTTGCTTCGCAATATATTTAATATTTACATAAAAATTGCGTATTTAAAATCGTTAAACTACAGGTAATAACTTGATTCTCAAAAATGTATTGTGACAGTAATAAATGTTGTCGCATATATTTGATCGGTTTCACGTTTTGAAGAATATCATTGGACGTTGTCATTAAAATGTTGCCAATGTAAGCTATTTTATTTTGATTTCACAGAACATTCAACTCCAGCTTTCGAGGAATTCTTGAAACTTTTGGGTCGTAAAGTTCGCCTGCGTAATTATTCCGGATATACAGGTGGACTGGATTATAGAAGTTAGTGATTTTTAAATTTGTTAATTGTTATCAGTATTGGTTAATTTTTTCTTATCTGACTACCGAATGCCCATTAATTCCTTAGATAACATTACAGCTCTTATATTCCAGTTACTAATGTACAACTTTTTTGTCAGACAGTGTAAAACTATCAAGAGACAACTCGAAAGTGAGGACAGGCAACTAGTATATTAACGCCAATATTACAGCTAACCAACAGTCATTCAACCGTACAGCAATAGTAAATTTACAACAGTAATACAAATTAGAAACCTTGTAATCTTCAAAATCACAACTGAAGCAGTCTGTGCGCACAAAATGTGTCGGTTACTAGAAAATGTTCACGTGTTATTATTTCATCAATGACATGTTAACTGAACGTGTAAGAAAATGTTCTTAACTATAAAGACCCAAAACATCAGTACAGATTTCACGGAATGAACGAAAGTCAAAGAAAAATAGTAGTAATAACAGTCTATCTGGAAATGGAAAATGGGGTATCTAGTGAGTTTTGTTACCTCTGTAAATCAGTAGTCAGTTACTCAAAAATGTGAAGTTCATGATTATGTTCTTCACTTATTTTAACTTGATACATATGCATATATACATATTTCAGTGACTAATCCTAACTTAATGAAGCATAATTCATGTGTTCAATGCGCTGACCTAAATGTTTTATTACAAGTTTGTCTCGTATTGCTCATAGAAGGTAAAAGTGTTTGTTCCTCGATATGCAAAATAGTAGAACTTTCAGTTTTTCTTTTTTGAAACCTTTATCTAACTAACAGACATTTGTTAAATAACAGACATCAACTAAACAGGAAAAAGGGAAGCCTTTTGAATTTAGGTGAGCACATAGCCGTTGTTGCTAAATAAAATAAAACCCTAGATATAATATTTACACAAAAAAATCCCAATGAATATGTGCTTCTTAATGCTTGCACAATATGACGCAGAACCTATAGGACAACACTTACACTTGTGTATTAAGTAATGAGTTAAACTGCCAAGAAAGTTGAGTGATTATTCATTCTTATTAGTGAAATCTACATAATCAAATAAAAAAGCTTGAAAAATGTCAGAAAAGTTTTGTTTTATGGGGGTGTAGATGCATTGTGAAGTAAATCATAGTCAAATTATATGCTACTGTACAGCTCTAGAATGAAAGCCATTAGAAATCTGAATCTGAATTACCAAAGAAAACACCATCAAATCTGAAACGCAGTCTCTCAATACACCTAAGATGTGCAATTAATAGTGTTCTCTGAGCTGGTTGGTTTAGTTGCGAAGCTCAGAGAACACTATTAATTGCAAATCATCCACCTGAGCTACAAATCTTCTCTATTATTACACCTGAGATGTGTTAACGGCCAAATAATAAGAGAGGTGAAAGAAATAATAATAATTTGCTTTATTCCAAAACAGTACATGTGATACAGAATGGAATTCTCAGAATTTTTACTACAGTATTGCATCCAGTTAGTACATTATCAATAAATAGAATTCTACATAGATTGAGGAAACCACAGTTCATTATTACAACAATACATTGGCATGTCAGTAGCAAAGGTAAAGCTGAAACAGTGTTTGAAGGTGTTAGAAAAGTGGGAGCTGTCTTATTAACTGGCGTAAGCGAGAGAAAGAGACAAAGCAGCACATAACGGAAAAAGAAGAGAGAGAAAAGGAACAGAAGGAAAGAAAATGTTGTACCTATTGATGAAGTGGGCTGGAAAGAGGAGATCCAGTTGCACTAATGACTATTTAATGAATTATAGGTGTCACGCCTAATGCTTTCTTTATCACACAGAACACGAGCTAAGTAGGGTATGGTTGAGTTTTTGTACTTGCTGGTGCGAGCATATAGTTTTCTATATTGGCTTCTTGTTTTACCTGATGAGATGCAAGGGGAGAGTTGTGAGTGAAGAGGGTGGTGTGAGTTAGATAAAATGGATTTGGCCCATTTTTCACATGAGTCCATGTGTCTGTCAACCAGAGTATTAACAAGCTGGTTAAGTGGCAGGTTGCTTACCCTGCTGACAACCTTTAACATCCTGCGTAATATGTTATAGTCTTTCTTCAGTAGCCCGGGAAAAACTAAGGGGGAACAATAGAGAATAATAGGCAGGATGCGAGAGTTAACGAATTGTAGGAGTAAGGGTTGGGTAATACCAGAATGTTTTAACTTCTTAATGTAGAAGGTAAGACGGAATATTTTCTTAGAAATTGCTAAGATATGAGACGACCAGTAGAGATCAGCAGATAGAATGGCGCCTAGGTATTTAATTTCTGACTTGGTTTCTATTTCAGTGCCATCTATGTTGCACACCTCACGAGAGCCAACCGGTTTGTTTAGGTCGGATTTATGCCTAAAGGTGAAATTGACTGTTTGGCATTTGGAGGGGTTTAGAGTAAGACCATTTTCCTTGGACCACTGGCTGATTTCTGACAGAAAGTCATTAAGTTTAGAGCAGTCGCTTTGACATTTGATAGGCAAAGATACAGACAGATCGTCAGCGTATTTGACAAAATTAATGTCATTTGAAGATGGTAAGTCATGTAGAAAGAAAGAAAAGAGAAGTGGGGAGAGTACAGCGCCTTAGGGGACTCCGGCTTCAGTGAGTGCAGCAGAGGATGATTTACCTTTGTATACGGTGTACTGCATTCTGTTAGAGAGAGAAGCGTACCTTTATTTTTTAAAAACTCATATTAAGTAGTGAAACTTAAAATTAGTACATAACATAACTAAGTCGTCAAAGGAACTTTAATTTACATTTGACTAGTTTTCAGTCTGTTGAGATTATCAATTGCGATAAAATGTGATAATATGAGTAAAACTTAAGCTGAATTGGATAGAAAACCACACACACTGATATGATAACGACGTACCAACACCATTTTACCTTTCTGCCTAATTTGCTTGTTCAATAGTAATCCAGTTCACTGATAGATACTGAAGTTTTATTATGCGTTAACTGATTTTGGATAAACCTAGAGTGTTTCTTGAAAGTGATTCTAAAAGGTTGCCTTCCGTATAAAATAATAAATCGAACTATTACTATTACAACTAATACTATTTAAAGTATCTGAGGTTACCTCTTATTAGTGGTTGGCGTCAGAATTACTTCCAATTATTTTAAATTAGGACTGTGAATATCCGTAAAAATAGGAATTTCATCGTAAAAATTAAAATTCTTTAGTCAATAGTGCTGAAATAAAATGAAAGTGTCAAGTATTGGTGTGAAGAGATTGGACTGGTTACAGGTTTTGTTCAAATCCCTGCAAACTGACACTTGATAAATTGTCTGCTGCTCAACAGCGACCGACTTTATACAAGAAGTTACCTGGAGTTCCAGTGAGAAGTCATAAGTAGCTGGGTCTATCTAGTCAGGTAAGAGAACATGTACTCACCTATGAAATTGGCTGGTGGTTTCTCTATAAATACATCACGAATTGGCAGAATTCAGAATTCATGGGCCACTGGATCTGGTCTCAGTTGCTGAATAGTCTACCGTGTCGCTTTGTAACTGGAAGGTTCTGGGTCTGAACCATAATGGGTAAGTACTAATGAGGAGTCCCAAAATAGGACGGAACGACTGTCCGATACTTCCAGATTTTCCAGTGATTCTCCAAATGATATCAGCTCGTGACCGAACCTGTAACATGAAACAACAATTGATAAATGAATCATTGACTTGGTACAATAATAATATCGAAAGTTCCGATAGAGAAAGAAAGACCAGATTTGCAGTATAAAATGATATCATTCTATTTCACAGGTTCTCATCAGCTGCAAACTACCTGAAATTACAATGGTTATAATTAATAACATTTCATACTTCATTGTTTGAAAGGTAATACAGAAAGCATTATAAGATAAACGCATCCGGAATATAAGGATTAAAATTTTTTGTAGCTTAAGTTACCATCAGTTTATATACTATCAATCTATGGCAAAAAGAAAGAAAAAAGGGGTGGGGGTGAGAGAAGACAGAAAACAGAAAAATCTAATAAACAGTGTCAACATGGCAACTCAACAAGGTCAAAGTTCATCAATTTGAAAACTTGCTTAGTGAGTTGAACTCACTAGTGTCTATGAGTAATCACAAGCTACAAAAAATTTTAATCCTTATATTCCGGATGCGTTTATCTTATAATGCTTTCTGTATTACCTTTCAAACAATGAAGTATGAAATGTTATTAATTATAACCATTGTAATTTCAGGTAGTTTGCAGCTGATGAGAACCTGTGAAATAGAATGATATCATTTTATACTGCAAATCTGGTCTTTCTTTCTCTATCGAAATTTATCAAGGGAACCAAATGTATGAAATATCGAAAGTGTTCAGAAAAACAAAATCTTTAAATTCAATGTTTATGCCTTAAGAAACACATTTATATTCAGAAGTCATAATTCTAATGTGATCGATGACTAAACTGAAAGGTATTGAAATTGGTTAAGTTCATAACTGAAATAATTATGATCAGTCACTTCAGGTATATGTAGATCAAAACTGTAAGACTTCTTCTGCCTAATGATTTCACCTTAAAGCGAACTATTCTGTGCCGAACAGTCAAGAAAACATACTGTCCTCGAGTATCATACTACTCAGACAGTCATACAACATGTGAAATACTGAGAAGTCATCCGAGTCTGGCATCTGTATGTAAACGTTTTAGTATCCGACGCTGAAAGCTTAGAGGAAATAGCGACGCAGAAATATTGGCAATCATCATTAATCTCTGACAGAGATTTTTGGTGAGGTAGAAATATTTGTAGGAAAAATTTTTAAGCACTTTTGCATTTGATGTAAATAATAGTAATAGTAAGTAGAAAATAATGTAGAATTAGTTTGTTTATTATACCTCATCTACATAAGATACATTCAATTCTATGCGTCGAATTATAAATGACAATTATTACATTTGTGCAGCTTAGCACTTATAAATTAACACAGCTTTTAACAGTTAGTATATACCATTTTTCTTCGTTTAATTATGGCAAACAACCTGTTCCTGACTAATTTACTACTTTCATGTTAATGGCTAGTTTATCTAGCAGTGCTTTTGCTAGTACTGACAGCAAAGACTGCAAAAACCACCTGTATCCTCGATTAGGGGTAAAGTTTATGCACAATCGACCATTCAATACACTTGCTTGTTCTTTACTATAACAACAGAAACATACCTACATACAAAAATCATGTAAAAACTCATGCTGATCTAAATTAGAATTAGAGGCTTTTGATTTTGATTATCTTGACTACTCGTACAAAGCTTTTTCATTATTATTTGCTACAGGATCACGTAAAGCATAAAGTGTGTATCTCCTATAGTTAAAAAAGAATGCGAAGCGTTTTTGTATCAAGACACATTGTTCACTGGTAAATGCAATGCGAAAATAAATCCACTTTAAGGATTTATTCGGTCCTATGAATATAGTGCAATGAGATGTTTGTGCAAATATTTTCATAGAAGCGAAAGTAGTAATATGATATGTCAGTGTCCTTTGTTTAACAGCAGAGCTCCACTGGATATTGAAATGCTAACCAGTATGAGATTAGACAACTTTAATTTAAAACCATGGTGACGGTGTATAGCAGACACATTTCTCCAAGCAGCCTTAGGTGCTTTCGGTTAATCCACGAATACTTAAGTAGAAAATTTCAAGAAGAATGCAGTTACCAGCGTCATACCACTAACCGTTACTGGGATAAAGTGGACGACCAGTTACTATATGAGCGCATAAAGCTTAATTGAAATAAAGATACTCATAGAAGAAATGAACTTGAATATTGTCGTTGAAGATTTTAAGATTTCAATCCTAGTGTTAAACTGTCATTAGGTGAACTGAATAAGACAAACACCGTAGTGTGTATTATCAAAAAGTGTCAAAAGACGTGAGAAAGTACTTATCAAAATTAAAAGCTGTAGGCCTGAACCATTTAAATAAAAACAAGGAGATAATAATTGTTAAATCAGGTAACAGTATTTAAGCATTAGTTACGGACAAATCCCATGATGTCATAAGTGATGAGAAAGAGTATGAATAAAACCTAAGTACTTGAACGATTCGACCAATAAGCCTTCGGATCACCCCACTGACCTTCTTCTAGCTGAGCTTTGTAATCAAGAGGCTAGTCGCTTGACCATTTTGCTACAGTAATCACGGGTGATCGCCTCATGCAGTGTCAATGAATGATTTACTGTTGTCTGTCAATCATAACACTGGTTTCTCATCTAGTTAAATGATTTAGTGGTTAACAGCTGAGTCTCGTAACTAAACTAAAAGAGTGCTGAGCTGCTAATCTGCAGGCCGTTGATTTGAACCTGGACTTTCACTTCATTTTTAAATTACCAATCATTTTATCAATGGTATTCGATACTTGAAACGGTCCCACCGTTAGACCAGATTGCTGAAAAAGTTCCATTGATCGCACTCTAACACGTTTGTATGAGGTGATTTAAAAACAAATCGATGCCGTTATAATCAAGATCAAAACCTCTACATCCGGTGTGGTTGTTGATAGGTTAAAACCTAAAATGTTACCTCCAGCTACAAAGGAGCGTTAAACGTAGTGCATAAGGCAGCTACTGAACACATTTCATTTCTATGTGTATTGAAATCAATCCATACCAAAAACATTTATTTAATTTAAAATGAATGGCCTCATTTAAAAGTTGCATTCATTACCCGTTGGCACGAAATAAATTATTCTGACGTCTCATAATAATCATAATATCTAGCAAATTGATTTTATGAAGAATATTTCCATACACTGCAGCATGTTTTTGTCTTCCTGAATGAGCATAATCTAATAATTTATGATCACGCTTTTTCCCCTTTATTTTCTAAGCTTTATGTTACAAAAACATACTTCTCAAGTATTACTGAGGAATTTTATGTAAACAACACACAGACACACTTATAATTTTATGCATTTAATATTTTGTTATATGTTGTCATGTTAGATGACACAACGGGATCGGAAACATACGTAACCGAATTTCGTGACTGTAACATTGTCTTCCTTGTGTCAACTCTACTTCCATATGAACCAAATAAAACGGAACAGGTAAGTTATACTGGTTGAATTTTGATGGTTGTGGGTATGATTATTCACTCTTCAAATTTATTTACAGTTATGAAAGTGAAGAATAATTTCTATGTCCCTCCTTTTCTTTGTAGAAGATGAAGAAATAATATTCATTTTCCTTGAAAAACGCAGATTTCAAACATTAATAAGTATAAAACACCGCATAATCTACTCAGGAAATCTTAAAGCAAAAGCAATCACTTACTGTGATTCACTAGTGGGCAATTTATTATCCGGTTTGATATGTTGTCTTGGATTTGAATAGTATTATGAGGTTATTTGCCTTGTACAGAGTTGTACGAATTTAACTAAATTTATTAGCATTTTCAAATCAAAAAATAAATGTCCTTCTACAAAAATCCATGTACTTTCGTATCATTCTCATTCTCGCCAGCAGCTTAGTAATGAAAATCTGGCTTTGACACTGCACGACAGCGTGATCCTATGATAAATAGCGTAGGTGTCTTACTGTATTTAGATACTGTTGATAAAGGGGTACTTTCATAAGTTCCGCCAATAGATTTTGAAACGATTACTCCATCGCATCGTTGGCCAAGTAGTAGAACGCTGTTCAGACAGTTGGAGGGCATTTTCCGGCCTACGTACTCCTAAATATCTAGGCTGTAGCAAGCAAATAAAAGAAGTTGGGTTGTGTATGGTGCTGGCAACTCAACCTCGCAAAAAAGAACACCACAACTGAGACTTTATTGGCTGAAGCCTTCTGTTTCACTGAGAACACAAAGGCATTTGAAAAAATGTATGGTAACAATCGGTCATAATGAGGGTCCTAAATGTTTGATTTCTCAGCGTCGTCAACGTTTTCTAATTTAGGAGGTAAGTTTAACAGCAGTTCCTTCATAGAGTTCAGAAAGTTCACAGTACATGATATACAGGATATTTAACGATCTGGAGTGCTATATTGTAAACATTGGCGGTTTATTTGCTAAACGTGTAGCAATTTGACGTTAGATTGTTGCTTGGATGTGTTATTTTTTTTGAATCAAGAGCTAATAGTTTTTTAGTTTGCTTGATTGTCCTCTAGTTACTGAAGTGTTGGTTTGTCTTTTCCGAGTAATTTCTATTTGCAATCGACAACTTCGGGAGTGTTTATTATTATATTTATAAGAGCACTGTGTTTAAAGTGTCTGTCTTGTAGATTTTGGGCTACTGAGCTGTAATATTCCCATATTGTTTAGATAAAAATGTGGAGAAAACCAATTCTAATTTCTTTTCACGCTCCTACTTGATGCACATTAATGGTCTAAGTCAATATTCAAGTTGACTCATCCTTTTAGATGTGCTCAAATTATTTGAACTTAGTGTTTCGACTATATTTATTCTGTTTTATTTGAGCAGAAGGCATTTCAGGTTTAGAAAACATTTCTAGTGACTTGAATAGTTTTTTGAAGAACGTCTATATTAATTTGTAAAACTAGATACTTGGAATTCAATAACGTTCTTTTTTTCTTGGTATTGTAATTCGACTTTTTTTATTCAATAAAATGTTAACTTATGTATTAATCACACAGTTACTGTTTGGTTTGCGGGAATTTGATTGGTTACAAGATTTCATCATGACATCAGTTAGAGAACCAATGGAAGACCTGAGAGTACTGGACAGCTGTTTCGTCCTAGTTTGGGACTGTCAGGCAGGACCTACCCACTGTGACTTGAAACCAGGACGTTTCGGTCACAAGGTGAGCTTGTAGACCATAATGTTACTGGGACTGGATCCAGTAGCTCATGAATTACAACTTTCAATTCACGATATAGTGCGGCCACTAACCAGTATCATAGGCAAGTATTTGTCCTCATACCTGACCTGTCCAGTACTCCGAGATTTTCTAATGGTTATTTAATCTATGTCAGACCATGATTGTCTTCACTTAGTGTGAAAGAATACTTTTTTTAACCTTTTTGACTGTACCATACTTTAGAATATCTGACAGTTCCTAATGAGTAGTTATTTATAACTTATTACTTTGAACCGAAGGACAGTTTAGTAATGTTTTTCGCATCCATGTTGCGATATGTTCATAAAAAGACCTGTAACTGTGATAAACTTGTGTTGTTCCAGCTCTGTGAGTGAACATATTTGCTAACTCAAAAATTTGAAATTTAGAAAAGTATAAATGAGACATTCAAATGGATTGAAGCATTTGCCCTGTCGTCTCTCAAAAATTGAGAGAATACTCATGACAGTTCCTTAAATAGTCTCAGCATAAATGCCTTTTGGTTGGACTGAAATGGATAGTATATCAAAGACTAGGAACTGTAAACTATTTTACAACATGGTTGTATTGAATAGTGTTAAAAAAATGGAGTCACAATAAAGAATAGGCTTCTTAATGAATTATTCCTTTGCTTCAGGAGGTGAGTTGTCGTTCTGAATCAGTTTAGGGTCCCAAGAAAATTTTGACATTTTTCAAACAATCCCTCTTTCAAGGTGAATAAATTATACTGTTAATCGTACTGCATAATTTGGAACAACTTATTTTTGTTAAATAATATTTCTACTTATTAAGCCTATTTCCTTGCAAACGTTCAAATCAATTTATTGTGGGTAGTGGGCTAACAATGATGAGTTTTTCATACACTTATTTCAGTTATACGAGAAATGAGAATAGATTAAGAACTAGTCTGTTTATTAGAAATTAAAAATACAACACTTCCGATGCTGATACAAATGATTATGATTAGATATGTAACGTAGTCTGTTCCGCAGCAACGTTCCATTTGCTATGGCAGTTTTTCTTTATTTTCCTTTACAAAATACCTTCTGATATGTCAAAAAGTCCTTGAAATATGCTTGAGTAGGTAATTTGTTTCAAATGCTGTTTAATGATAAAAATCGTGTTAAACATAAGGTAGGATGCAAAGTATGTCAGCCTCAAAATTTACCAAGCCTCAAAGATAAATCGATCATCTCGCCTAACCAACATTCTTTTCACTCTGAATTTCATATGTTGAGTGGATGTAGCCTTATTCCCTCCAGAGTTGTTCTTGCGCATAGATGGCGTTCCCGTGCTTTTGTATAATGTACATATCTGATAAACACATCAGTGCTCTATATCAAAGCGATAACCACTCGGTATTCTATTTATTCCCGAAATCTCCTCTCATCTGCTTGGCAGATATTGATAAAATCCACTGTTATTGTAAATGTCATTTAACAAAAGTACACTTAAGTCTTGACGATGCATAGAAATCACTATCAGTTAATTTCTTCTTAATACATATAAATTTTTCGACTAAAATGCCGTGTCAGACATGAGTATATTGACTCTTTTCACAGCTTATAACGTTTGCGTGCTAGAATTAAAAACAGGCATAATTATTTTTCCATTTAAAGACATTGAAAATTTTGAACAGCTTTAGTATTTTAAAGAATTATTCATTGTGCAGATGTGTAGAATTGAATGATGTCATTGTGTTTATGATTTCCTTTGATAAAAGAATTAAGGAAATAGAAACAAGGCGTGAAGATGAACAAATACGTGAATCAAAGTTTATACCTTATTCGTCTTAATTCTTATAAATCTCATGGTGTTTATCAGCAGTTTATAATTTCAAATAATTTTTTTTGTTCAATAATGTTCGAATATCACGACATGGGGGAAAAGTTTCAATTTAGCGAAATATGTTGAAATGTACTTTGTACATTATCTGTCACATTTTTTCTGTCTGTTTGCTTCAGATGAATTAATATTTTAGCAGCTGTGAAGTCAACTCTAACACTGATATCTTTACCACAGTAACTGATACAGCATTATTATTGTTGAATAGTTGGATAACATTTTCACTTACCTGAATGTTGATTTTATGGGGAACCAGCACCAAACGCATATGCTTTAAAAGTCACCTAGAAATGAATAGTTGCTTGAATTAATTTAGGGATAGTGTGTCATTAGTTTTAACTCAGACAGGGAATGGCAACAGTACAATGGGTTGTGTGTTCACCGTTTTGCTAGACTTTGGATAGACACTGTATCGAGATGTCCTATGCAGAATAAAACAGTTGTTCAATCATCCTTGCTTTTAAGTGGTTCTTTAACTCTAGGGTGTGATGAAATACAATTTTTGATGTGTATAGTCACTTCGACAAATCTTTCACCTTCTCTCGCAAGACTTTATTTGAAAGTAATAAATGGGTTATTTTTTTCAAAATTACATAATAGCTAGTGAACGTGCATTTAAAACAGATATCAGTGTCTGTTAAGTTACTATTATTTTGCTACCATTATAATGGAAAGCAAAGAATGAATATGTTTGTGCTTAATGATTGTTTCGAGAAAAATATGTTAAATTGTGCTCAAATCATTCCTTGACTATGCTGATGCTTTACTGGCTATGAATATAGTGCACCACAAAGAGAACAGTCACTCATCTGAATACATATCTATTTGGGACATAATCTAAAAGCAGTAAAGTTTTGGTTCAGCCTAACACCTAAAGGTGCATATCCAAGAATGTATTACATCTATTTGCGATTGCATAGAATGAAGCTTATCAGTTACTTGATAATCTAATTGAGATCACTGATAAAATATGATTACAAGCTCCCCAGTTCTCCCGAAATTTCTTTAATACAGCCAGCAGCTATTGCATGGAAGTCCACTATCCATCCATTAGAAGCTAATTACGTGGACATACGATTTTCTGCCTAACAACTTTACATATCCGACAACTAACACTGTTATAAATTCTCAAGTCTGAATGGAAAGTTTGGAAAAAGCATAAATGGTATTTCTATAATTTTAATTCGTATTTGTGTGCTTCTCCTAGTGCATCTTCTGTTATACCTAATTCAGCAGTTTCCATTTTCTTTCAGCTTCCCAGGAAACGACATATTGGCAATTCATCTGTCACATTTATATTTGCAGAGGAAGGTGCTATGCCATTTCAACCAGATACTATAATATCGGGATTTCAGAAAGTGTTCATAATAGTTAGACATGTTCGTTTAGAAAACAATAAATTCGCCTATCGGTAAGTACTAATGCGAAAGAATGAGAATTGTACTAGCTCTTCGAAATGATAATATCAAGCCGCTCGAAAAGGACTATTTTGTATAGGTCTTCTACTAGTATTGATAACGCCTTGACACTTATGAAATGCTTGAAATTTTGTAACTATCAAAAATTCGGAATAGATAAGAATATCACTTCTGTAAGGCAATGGAATAAATTGATTGGCTGAAGCAACAAGATTTTGACATAAATCGATCTAGAGGTGAAACTTTTTTTGACAGCATACTCAAGAATATAAATAAATTTTTAAAAGTTTATAAGTTTTAGCTTTATTTTATACCATCATTTTTAATTCTTCAGTAAGTAAGGTATGGGAAATGAATTTCCTACTTTACTACGTAATACGCCATTAAAACTGACCTAGTTTCTCCAATGAAAACACTAATGTTTATAAAATGTTTTCCGCTATATGGCAGAGGCAGTGAAATAATTTATGACAAGAGTATGGAAAAATAATGTATATTGATTGAGCGATTGTCCACTTCTTTCACTTCAAAGAGTAAATTTCCATCAGTCATTCCCAATCGTTGTGCAATTGACAGTGCAGTGATAGTTTGCTCTGGTCTGGATGTGATGACGACTACTCAGATACAGATTTGATTTAGATTATTCCAAAGTTTGACCATTTCTTTACGTCTATAAATCTTTCTTATAACCGATTTTGTTAAACTTGGTTTTGTTCCACAACTCCAGTTATGAAAGTGTAGGCCGGAATTGAGTATTTTATAAATTAACATTATGAAACTACTGCATTACTTCTTCTACAATTATTCTTGCACTCACCGTTATTATCATATTTATTGCTTGTATCTCATCATCCACAAAATCAATCATCATTTTGTACTAGAATGCAAACAACAAAATATTAATTTCGTTAAGTACTGTGAGTTCTTTGTCTAGACTTATGAAGTATTAACCAAGTACTACGTGATTTGTTGTTGTAAACTAAAGTCATTTCCAACTTCGTTTCAAGTGTAATACATAACTAGGCGCAATTTTCATTCCACTACCCATGTTATAACTAAATATTTGAAAAGCATTCTGCCTATCTTGTTCTGCGTGAATCTCAATGATGAATAATATCTAAGATTGAGAGTGAACTGTTTTACTGCTAACAATAAAAGATTAATAAATCTAACATTTCTTTGTAAAGTAATTTTTCAATGAATCATAAGCTTTCTATGGTAGAAAGACTGACCCATAGAACAAGGACTTTGATTGGAGCTTCAATAATAGTTGCAGACTTTAGCATATATGGGGCGAAAACTAATAAGTTAATAAAAAAGGTAAATTAAGTAAGAATTCAAGTGGACATAGACAAAACAGCAACCAGCAACCTCTGTCAACGGGTGAAATCCAAAGAACGTCATTACTTTCAGTTACCCAGACAGCGTTGTTCCAACTTAAGACAGCAACACAAATGAGGATGGCAAAGGTAGGATTAAGAAAGTGAGATAGACCTTTATTACGTTAAAGTCATTATGGAGATTTACTGCAGTCCTTATTAGGAATAAGAGCTAATTCGTCAATACTAGTGTCAAAAAGTCAGTGCTTCTGTATGCTTCGAAAACTAGACGCATGTGTCACTTAAATCATTTCCAACAAACTGCTTCACATTGTCATCAATAGATGTTTTTGATAGATACCGGAAACGACCAAACTACAACCTATCTCCCAACAAATATGCAGAAATTAATCGAGATGTATCAGACATAAAATTAGGAGAGTGTGAGTATGAATATGCACTAGGTCGAACTCGAATAGGAGATGAAAAAGTGGGCTTGAGTTTGAGAGTCAAACTGAGGAGATGAAAGCTGATGGGCGATCATGAAGACAGCTAAAAACGACTATATATAACAGGATGAAATGATGGTGTGTTGTTGAAGGCCTATTTTTCACTAGGAAACCAGAGGAATAATAATAATAGATAAATGAAAATTATCTTTTCTTATACAGAATGCAATAAAATTTTAAAAATTACCAACATCATGAATTATGAAGGGAACGATCACAAAAAAATCATATGATACCACATTAAAAAGGTGATTCGAAACTTCATATAATCCAATGTCAATGCAAACTTTAAAACATAGATTAATGAACAAAGGTAATCCTTTCCGACAAATGTTTCTTGCAATCCTACATTTATACAGTCATATTAGGCAAACAACGCGTTTGTGTATATTAACTGCATGAAAGTTGTCTATAACAACAAATCATTAGATCAAGTAAAAATAGTTATTTAATTGTGTTTAAATCCAAACAGCTTTGGAACTCACTTCAAAGGAAATATCATATCTGTTGTGAAATTACGCTGTCGAAATGAATTATTTTAATGTTTTAATTCTAAAATGGCGTAGTGTAGGCAGTTTATGACCTTCATGTAAATAGAGGTTAGTAAAAGAATACATTAGAACGAAAGTGTGTGGATAAAGTCATAAAGACACCGATAATAAGTGAAATGATAGTTCTGATTAAAATATAAGTGTACATGGGCATAAATTTAAATAAGTAAGATAAAATTATTTAAGATAGTAATGACTAAGAAGAAAAATACTGAAATTCAAAATTTCGTTGCATCATTCATAGGCACTTGGACATTCCTTGATTCCAAAGACTGAAAAGGTAATGATACATAGAGGTTACATATGTTTTTTTCTGGATGTCTAATTCTGACTTTTCTGTCTGAATGCTATCACTTGTGATGTTCGTGACTTTCAAAGTCTAGGTGGTTTGGTAAGGTGTTAGGGATATGGTTACTGATGAAGAATAAATTGGACTACTTTACTGTTGGACTTGGAGAAAACATATTTTGTGATTTCCCTACAGAAAGCTTTCTCTAGACAAATTTCTATAGCTTTCGAGCAGTTTCCTTAAACTTCACTTAAATGTAGAATGTTGTTTTAGTAGCACTTTGTAAACCTGTTAAATTAACTACTTGAATGTGTACTGAACCATGCAGGTTGAAAGAAATAATATCCACAGAAGTATTTCGTCAAAAGATTTGCAACTGAACTGTACTGAAATGTCCATTAAAATTAATAATTTTTATTTGTCAGCGTTTAAAGTAAATTCCGCATCTATAACATTGGAAACTGACAAAAATTTTAAAAATTACAAAAATATTCTGAGTAAAACGATATCAGTGAGACAGCTTAATGATTACATTTATGCTGATCTTAAGGATACATTAAACATTACTGTATAGGTGGCTCCTAAAAATACCTCGATTTCTATCACTAAATAAAAGAATGGCTAAGATGTAGGGGTCTATATTATCCAGGATTAAACTGCTTCCATTGGTTGGAACTTTATAAAATGTATCTAATATAGCTTAGGTGTTTTACCAGCAACCCTTGCGCACTACGATCACCTAACTGAATTATTATATTATTATTACTATTCCCTTGCGTTCCGAGTGGAACATAGGGCTTCAACAACACATCTCCACTTTGTCTTATCTTCTGCCGTCCTCTTAAACTTGGACTACGGTTGCCCACAATCTCTCATCTCCTCATCACATGTGCTCCTCCATGTCACTCTAGGACGACCCACTCGTTGCTTCCCACGCGAGCAATGGCCTGGCGTGCAATGTCATTCAGCGGCCTCCTCAATGAATGCCTGATCCATCTCCACTTTCTCCCACATATTTGTTGAGTGATCGGTGGTTGGTTTGTTCCCATAGCTTTTTGTTGCTCATTCTTTCTGGCCATTTGATCTTCAGCATGTAGCGAAGGCAGCTGTTGATGAAAGTCTGCGACAGGCGGTTGGAAGTCGTTTTCGTGACACGCCAAGTTTCTGACCCGTATATAAGAACCGACTGACTTCACATTGGTGTTGAAAATGCGAATCTTGTTCCTTATGCTGTGGAGTGCGGAAGGTTTCAAAGCTGGTTTCAGATTGATGAAGGCGCATCTTTCTTGTCTTAACGATTCTGACTGGCTTTGACATAATCGTCCGTGCCGTTTGCATGTAGTTGAAACGATGCTTCCAAGATAAGTGAAGGAGGCAACCTCTGTTAAATCTCTCCCGTTGATGGTGATTGGTGCTGGTTGTTGCTGTTGCTGTTGTTGGTTGGCTACCTTCATCACCTCTGTCTTCACTATGTTCACCTGCAGTCCTGTCTTCGCTACCAGCCTCATCAACCAGTTTGTTGATTTTCGCTTCGAATTTGTGTGACATTAGACATATACCATCTGCGAAATCCAGATCTTCTAGAGTCTTCTTATGGCTCGTCCAGTGTATTCCTGACTCCTCACTCCAAAGCACTGTCTGACGCATAATCCAGTCCACCACAATTAGGAATATCATCGGTGATAATAGACAGTCAGCTTGTCTTACGCCTGTATTCACTTCAAAGGCTTCACTCAGTTTTCCATTGTGTATCACCTAGCACGTTCCACTGTCACATAGGCAGTTTCTGAATCAGGCTGATGAAGACTTGGGCACTGTACACCGTAGCCATGAATTAGTTTCCAGTGTACCTCTTGGTCAACACTGCCTGTTGACGGCCTTTTCGAAGTCGATGAAGTTCAGGTAGAGGTTCGACTGCCATTCCATGCTGTGCTTGATGGTGATGTGTAGAGTTGAGATTAGATCAGCACATGATTTGCCGTTCCTGAATTTAGCTTGTTCCGGGCTGGCGGAGTTCTGCATCCAGTGCATTTTTTATTCTCTCCAGCATGATACGTCATAATATTTTACTTGGTTTTTGCACAGGCCCAACTAGGTCGCCCTTCTTTAGCAGTTTGACGAGGGAGCCCTTCTTCCAATCAGTATGCAACCTTCCTACTTTCCAAAATTTTGCAGTAATAGAGTGAGAATATCTGCCGTAATCTCTGGGGCCGTCTTCAGTCCTTCGGGAGGAATTCCGTCTCGTCGTGCTGCCTCTTCTGTCGAACTTCAGTAACTTGATCACATTCAGGATTTGTTTTTCGTTGGAGGATTGGTGTCCACTGTCAGTCAGCTGTGTGTTTGTGTGATGGTGGTAGTGGTGGTATTTCTGGGCGAGTTGCAGGTGATGATCGATTCAAGAGTCCAAGTGATCAACCCATTATTTGACTTGTTTCTCCTCCTTGGTGATCAGGTCCCCTTGAGCATCTTTGATTGGTTGCATCATCTGTGTTAATCTCTTCCTAGATAGAGACTTCGTTATGTGATATAGTATCCTGATGTCCATTTTGCCTGCGGCCTTTCCTGCTCCAGTTGACAGTGTTTCGTAGAACTGCCGTTTGTCTTTTCTAGGACTCTTCACATCTTTCTTGATTCATTGCAATGTACATTTCTGTGAACTCAGCTTCTCCTTCCGTTGCCAATCTTTGCATTCAGTCATCTCCTCTTTCACCATCCTCCTCTCCTCTCTTCGATTAGCTTCCAGGTAGGTGTCCGTTGAGTGCAATTCCTTGCCTTGTCTCTTCTTTCTTCCCAGAACAGTTGTAGACGTTTCCTTGATAATCCCCTTCAGAGAGTTAGTTCCAATGTTCTTCCACACAGTTTTCCTCAGTGATACCACGTAGTGTCTCCTACTTTGCTCTGATCTGTAGTGAAGGTATCCCTTGTAGTTTTTCCCCTCAGTTTCAGAATTTCGGACTTGAGTTGTGGCCTATCTCCAGTTGTTCTGAAGTTTTTCAGCTTCAGCTTGAAGGTTACTTGAACTAGATGATGGTCTGAGCCCAGATCTGCTCCCCTTCTCGACTTTGTGTCCAGCAGATTGTGTCTGCACTTCCTTGAGCATCATTGAGATGAAATCTATCTGGTTTGTGGTGTGTCAGTCAGGCGGAATCCATGTCGCTGGCCTTGTGTATATCCTTGTGCTTGTACACATTGCCTCCAATCACCAAATTATTGGAAGCTCAAAAGTCTGCAAAGCGTTCTCCGTTCTCATTCATTTCGCTCAGAGTCTCTCAACCTATCATCAGTTCTCTTCCTGTATTATCTGCTCCCAATTTGGCATACGTATCGACCATATGGGTTTTGGTGTTGCCATTCCAGATGTTGTCCATTGCTGTCTGTAGTTGTCGATAAAAAATCTTTCTTCTTCTTCTCTTGTTCCATGTTGTTTGTAGCATTGTGTGTAGCATTGGATAATTGTAACCCTCCTTCCTTTTGAGGTGAATTTTGCCGTTGTAATCCTGGATGAAATTGGATTCCACTACATTACGGCCTTGACTGCCACCGGTTACATCATGATAGCCACTCACTGCTTCAGTGTGTTCGTGGTTGTCGTCTGAGTGACCTGAGTAGATTATTGACTCTCCCTTTGACAACGTTGTCAATCCACACCCATTCAATCTGCTTTCGCAGATACGCAGTACTTCTGAGCCATATCTTCGCATCTCTTTGCCTATCTGGGTAGCATTCCCAGACTCGTTCATTGTACGGATATTCCACCTACCCATTCTTACTCTTGCTTTCATCGAGAGAAGACACATGGGCTGACTGGCTTTCAACAGCCTGCTGTGTCATTTCGCCTCTCTGATTCGGGCGAAGAAGTTTTGTATTTTTAATATATTTTTTGTGTGTAGAAGTTTCTGTAGCAGTTTGAAAGATTTAGTAGAGTAGGGTTGCTAGCCCCAAGCCCAACTCTGCCTCTTTACCCGGACCGGCTAGAAAACTAGCGAGCTGGTTAACTAGACGAGGTTCACGTAACTTTAGATAATCAGAATTTTCGGGAGAAGTTTTCAGTTAAAACATTCTCTAGTTAGGATTTTACTGAAACCTCTATAGCTTATCAATTCTCAATTAGGAAACATTCAAGCACAGTGTGGATTTTACGCCAATGTATAAGGAAAGTTTACAATTCCAACGAAGAATTGTTTGACTTACTAGAACGTGTTATATTTCTTGAATAATTATTCACTTGATTGTGTTATGACTTGCGTGTTTTTTGTTCATCGTCAGATAGTTTTTACCTAGATTATATTTTAAGACTGATTAATGTAAAAAATTACCACTCTTATTTTTGCATTGTTAAATTTGTTTGTACGATAGGGTGGCAGTATGCCGGGAAAAGAATGTACCTCCGTTTGGGCCAATCATATCAAGTGATTACTTATTTGAACATCATACTTCTTTTGCTAATTTATTACTAACTAAAGGTGAGTGGAATACACAACTTTTATTATTGTATTATTAAGCTAACTTACTTGGAATTTCTTCATAGAATTACTTTTTTACACTTGTTTGGTTTATTACTTGTGATATTTTTGAATCTATTTTATGTAAGTTCCTTTTTACCCGTTTTTCAAACTACAGTGATTTATGTAGTTTCCACAGCTGTAGGCATACCGCTTGGATACTATAAAGTAGTGTGATTCTATGCTATTCCGCTTAGATATTAAAGATATCTAAAAAAGCGCAAAGGATTATTTCAGGTAATGTATGAGAACAATGAAATTTACAACAGAACAGTATTGCAGGAGCTCGTAAGACCCGTTTCTGGGAGTACTAGATAATGCTTATTGAGAATTCTCGTTTTTTAAAATACTTCTAGGCATTTCATTACCAACAGCTTAGTCGAGATTTTACAGTTTATTATAGAAATATGGAACTGTCACCAGTTATAATACTTTACTACCACTTTGTTTATTTCTTTCAGTATCTTCTATTGCCTACATCAACACACACAATGTCAGTAAAAACGATCCGCCTCAGTTCTTCAGGGACTTGACTTTTTGAAGTATCCTAGCATAATGAATAATTAATAGCTGCAAATTCATTAGTGTTCATTAAGTTTTCTGATTGGTTTAGAAGAAAAAACACTGACACAATAATTAATTAATCTGCTGAGTTATTAGTTGGGAATTTGTATACTCAACGTAGGATGATCCAGAAGGTTTGCTAATGGCTTTCATATGGAATATGCCGGCATAAGAGATACACTTTTCCTTGAATTGTGTTGTATGTGGATCATAAAAATATATGATAATGTTTCACCTTTTATACACCTTTACTTAAGAGCACGTTTCATAAATTCTGTCAGGCTGGCAGAAAAGAATGATGATAGTTGAATCATTGAAAGGTTAAGCATCTCTGTACTGGCCCATTTCCTTTTACACACTGTATCGGTAATAATTTAGATCAAATAAGATATTTCAACAGTATATTAAATAGCGCATAGTTAGACAGGCAAAAAATCTGTCCGGTAAAATTCTACCAGACATTGGAAACACTGTCAGATTACTGTACCAAACACAACAATCGCTTCCACTTTAAAATAATTAATTTGGATAATTTGCTCAGACAATGGTGGAGAAGTGATTTTTTGAGGTGGTTTGAATTCACAAAATTAAGAGTAACAGCATCACCGAGAAGTGAAAGATACTCAGTAGCTACTTCGTACTGATTTAAAATTTCCTAGGAATCTGCGAAAACAGTTCAGTACTACTTAACCACTAAATGACAGGTACTCTGTTGAGCGGGTTAACATTTAGTCACTACTTTATTTCACGTTTTACACTATCTGATTCATATTGTTGTATCAGAAACCACAAGGACGATTCCGTCTGACTTATGTAAATATTTGACAATTCTTGAATAAAACATTTAACAGCATTTCTAGTACTCGGCTTCTACTCGACAGCCTGAAGCACGATGTCAAAAAACAGTCTTCTCAGAGTACATCATTTTCAATGTCGCTTATCTATACACATCACAAAAGAATCGACATATGTTTAAAAGGTAACTTTCTCGCTCACAATCGCCGAGCAAGCACGCAGTTCAATGGATTCAGCCTTCAATGTTCAGTCACCTGGTTCTGAAGTTCAAGTCTTAATCTTTCTGGGTAATTGGAAATTCGCTTCCAACCAACTCAGTACCAGTTATCTTTTAACTGTATTATGATTTTCTCTTTTTGGTTACAAAGAAGTAACTTAGAATACGGAACCAACAAAATCCCGCTGGTGATATGAAATTCTATATTCAGTCATTATACTCACTACTACAACAATACCTAAGTAAACTATTTTTTTCATACTAAAATGTTTCTTCAAAATCGACCAGAATTGTATAGTGAAACTGATGGTCTATTTGTACCATCTGAAGGAAATAAATTAATCCAAATTACTGCGATATAGTCAATTGCCTTTTTTCTACAAATTGCGTGTTGTATCATAAAATACTCATTGACAGGTTAAAGCATGCACAAACCAATATGACTCACCAGCAAGTGTAATTAGCCTTTACACCTTTCATTTTGTGTTCCATTAATGTGTAAAACATTTTTACATTGTTTGTGCAGGATAATATATAGTGTTGCTTTGTTTCAAACATTACATTTGTATTTGATAATAGATTATATAAATTACAATTTTATTATTACTGAGGCCGTCTAAATAATTACGACTATACTATGCCTCGTGAATTACAAGGCGTATACCATCAATTTTTTTCTAGTAGAAAACTAATCGAACCATCACTGATGTAATATTGTAGTGATGAGACTGAAAGGGAATTTGTTAATGGCAAATTCATGGTTCTACCAGGAGTAAATTTGTTTTAAGTGTTGTAATAAAATTAATTAACCCATAATTATGTTTACCGTTTTGATTAGACTTTAGTATCCAGAAAGAATACCAAAAGTTAGTGTTTAGAATTCATAGTACAAAAGAATGTGCACTATTTTTCGTTTGATTATTTTTATAAAAGCTGCTATTAAGTCATTGAATTCTTTACATTTTTGACCTGATTAAATAACACTCTTATGTTTTTCCATGGAACTGATTGACTGGTAACTCTGCAGCTGTAAGTGTGACTTTTATTATGTTTATGTCCCAGCGTTTCACAAGTGTTCTATCATATTATTTTTTTTAAATTCCTATATTTTATGTTTACTAACATGTAGAAAATGGCACTCAATATAACTGGTGGACGTAAATTCTTCAGAAAACTACTTAGTGAAGTAATAATTACTTTTCATGTCTCTTTTGTAACAAATTTGGTTAGGATGTATGAATGAGCACAAATAGGTAGGCCTGACGACTGCTTTATATTATGAATACAATGCAATATTCACTCTGGTTTGTAAAATTAATCGCTGGGTGGTCACTAAGCGAATTTTTTTTAATATTGTACAGTTACAGAAAGCAAAACAGATAGCTTATTGAAAATTAGACAGATTGAAACCAAAATTGCGAATCAGTTGCCCAACTTTTATTATAATCTGTACATTTAACTAATAATTATTTCGAAATGAAGTTACAAAAGCGGACTGCTTTACCAAACAACGGGAATTCGTTCGCAGTTTGTCAAAACGTCAGTCCGAAAGACTAAAATACCCCGTATGTTGAGCTAATAAATGAACAGATTAGTTTTAAAATGGTTACAGCACATTAAGTAAGCTGTGATGAAAATGAAACTCATTAATCTTCCTTCTGAAGAATTGAAGTAATTAGAATAAAATGTTATGTTACAAAAGGCATATAAGGTCAACAGTTATGGTTCAGAAAGAACTGACGAAATATAATGACTTCATTTTATCCTCTTCTTCTTTTTACTTTGTGCAAGTTCAAGAGGTTTGAATTCAAAACCTAAATGTTGGAAAATTCTTTATTAGAGGTAGTTAGTTTCAGTTATGCTATCAATCCCATTGACTTAACCCCATTTTATAGGGTTGACAAAAGTATTTTATTGTAATCAATACATCATTTGGTTAATCCGAAACTTACCATGGTGTTAAAGGCAGGAGGTAAAGAAGCCTAATTCATAGTAAGTTTTATTCCTCAGTTACTCTGTGACAAACTGAATGTCACGTTGGATGTATTTGCAAGGAAATTTCCCAACTATCTTGAATTTAGTCCTTTTATACAAAGAATATAGTTTACAGCGTGTAAATTCGTTATTTAGTATCAAAAAATATATTCAAATGTTCAGCTTTCTTCATTACTTTCAATGTCCTTTAACATTCATTTGAATAACAGCGTTATACTATGCTGTGTCGTCATTAAAATCAACACCCTGCACAGTTCCATTTTGGCCGTGACAAGAGAAACTGAGCTGTAAATACAGTAGACACAATCTCCAGTAATTAGATGTCTCTTTTCATTCAGGTGCGCAAATTATTTTCATCTCTTACGCCACTTTAAAAAGTTTCCTCTCCCTTAAAAAAAATTAATTTTACACCCCAAGGTGAAGATAATGACCTCACTTGCAAAAAATTAGATTTTTCAATTATTCTCATGAAATCATTGGAACACTGGTGTTTTTTTCTAAATTCAATGAGCTAAACAACATTATTGGTAGTATTTTCAAGTGTTAATTTGCAGAGATTTGATTTATTTCAAGTTTGACCAAGGATTACTATTAGTTAGTGCTCGCCTTGTAAACTAAAGGACTTGAGTTTGAAACCCCGATGACTGCGTACTGCCGATGAGTTACAAACTAGGATGAAACAACTGTCCAGTTCGACTTGGTTTTCAGTGATTTTCTAACTGATACCAGTCTTTGCTCAAAATTGAAATTATGAGTAATAATTGAAGCTGCATAAATAGACACTCCTTCGCTTACTTAAAATGAAATATCATGTAGTTTTTCTGAAGTGTTTCTATTACCGAGAGATTTGTATCGGCAAACTGTAAGAAGAAATGTAGGTAGCGGCTTAGGTCGAAATAACAGGAATGTAAATAGAACGTTGAAAGAATACTTTATCACGAACTTAGAACAGTTTGCATAATTTTCTATCACTAAAAGTGTAACTCAAAAAGGATATCACACCGAAATGTTCAATAAATCTATTTTTACGTTGATATCTCTGTTCCATTTCGTTTACTATGTGAAGAGTTGTATATTTTAAGATGCTCAACCAAAATGATATCAAGTGCACTTATTATTATTATCATTCACTAGGGCTCCAAGTGAAACACTGGGCTTCATCAGCGTTCTCTGCAGTTACCTTTCAGATGTCTCCAAAGTTACTCATTAACTTTGATTTTCTCTTCATACGATCTCTTCCATGTTACCATCGAATTCATGCCCAACTCTCTGTTTTCAATTCGAGCTCCACTCATGTGCCTGGAACATCATGTCTCTCAACAGTCTCCTAAGCTTGTTTCTAGTCCATCTCAATTTACTTTAGCATATTTGCTTGGCTACATGGTTTTGT